TACGTAGCACGAGAATCAGCGACTAACGCATGCTCCCCGGTAGTGACATCGATTGCTAGCAAGGCAACCGGGTCCGGTGGATTGAGGAGAGACGTCGCCCCTCTCCTTGCGTAACTCAGTTTCCCGAGTTCGCTGGACGGGGTACGCGTGCCTTGCCCTTTTCGGGGCATTGTGCGGTCAAGTGAGTGACTCCATTGCACCAAAGGCAATATCCGTACCGTTGACGAAGGTCATAGACTTCCTTGGTTATCTTGTATGTCGTCCATGGCTGCTGCCCAGTTCCCGTTGATGCCGTCTCTTGTGTCGCCTTGTTCTTCCGAACTCTCTTGGGATGCTTCGGCGGGAGTGCTGCTATAATTCCTCCATCACTCGAGGATGCTGCTGCAGCGTGGAGATCGACTGTTTCTTCAGAAATCACGGCATTGTTATGTGCCGGTCGTTGATAGCCCTGCTTAGCCACATAATGTGGCTGGGACTGCCGTTCGTTTGCGGCCTTGTCATCCGTTTGGATGACCAAGTTCGCACGATCCAGGATGGCCTGGAATGAGGCGTAATCGTACTCGTTGCCGAGTGCGTTTCGCAGTCCTGCGCATGATCGCGAGAAGAACTCGGATCGTTGGTTAGGAAAACTCAAATCGAAGCCTGGCGTGGTCACTATCTTTTGCCACTTGGTTGTCCAGTCTCGAGTCGGCATACTCCCTTGAGAGCAGGTGTACACCTCGTTCATGGCCGCCTTCACGACGTTGCGGACCATGAACCGAGTGAACCATAGCTTCTCGAACTCTTTCCACGTGATGTGCGTGTGGAGTTTGGCGATGGTGCATTTCTTGGTAGCCGCCAGATGGTTCATCCATGCCTGCGCTCCTCCAATCAGTTGTAAGTAGAGCACCTTCATCATGATGTCAGCCGGGACAGTGCGGCATGATGCTTCCGTGAGGAAACTTTGCCACCATGTCAAGGTGTCCGTCTTGTTGTAGTCGTCGAACTTGCTGATGTCGAAGTGCGGCATCTTGTAATTCTTTGTAGCGGCGTCCGGTCTTGTCTGCAGTTTGGTGATGCTCGTCTTGATGGCGGCCATCGTGCTGCTGATTGTGGCCGGACTAGTGAAATCACCTAGTTCGCCAATTATAGTGACGACGTGATCGATGCGCTCGTTGAGCTGCTTCGTCGCGTCTGTCGTGCAGCCTGGTGCTGCTGAGGTCTTAGCCTCAATGCTGTTGATGCGCACGAGAGTGGAGTTCAACAGTTGTTGCTGTTGCTGCTGCTGTGTTGCTGCGGCACGGACGACATCGGTTAAAGCGGCCATGTCTTGCTGGTGTTTTTGTCTTTGCTGTCGTTCCGTGCGCAGGTGTGCCTGCAGCAGTTTGTTGTTCCACATTACTCCCCTCGTCATGCTCAACATCAGGGTAGCCAGGTTACTTCTCTCTGCCTCCACCTGTGTCAGATCCGCCTGCACGTCCGTAGGCACAAAGATCATGCCTTGGAGTAACGTTGCCCACTGATTCTCATTTTGAATCAGGGACTCCGTGCTGGCGGCATTCCGTCTGTCTCGTGCCGCTGCGTCAGCCTCAGCAGTCTGCTGAGCTTGGGCTGCCACCTCATTGGCCAGCCGCTGACGTTCTGCCTCTGCTACCTCCTGCTGAGCCTTGGCGGTAGCTACGGCATCTGTGAATACCTGTAGCCGCCCCAGGTAGTCAGCCAACGGTTCAAGGGCCCCTTGGACCGGACATGCGGGAAGAACTCCGGTGGTAACCGGTACTGTCAGTGCTGTACTCGATGCCGCTGGAGTCGTCCGCCTGCTGAGTCGCTATTGCTGATATTCGGTACGTGGAGGTACCACAGAGCGGGCACGAACTGCAAGCCTGGCACTGCGTCGTGGCAGTGCCCCGGTGTCCTGTTCCGTCGACATCAGTTCTAGCTGATGTGGTACTTGAGAAATCCCGGTGGTCACAGATTACGGGGGGGGTAGGGAGAGTGGGAACAGAGGTAGAACAATCAAGCACTTCTCATACAGTCCCTGTCCCACTGATGGACTTTAGACACCTAATCAAACAGAAAATAAATTTTCCCGTAAACAACTCAAAAATTCGTAATAAGAAAATAATAACGAATTATTTAATTAATAAAGTTTAATTAATGATAAATAACGAAATAATAATTCTTCATGATAATCAATAAAACAATATTTGCAATAATGATTCTTAATGATAATCAATAAAACAATATTTGCAATAATGATAATGAACGAATTTGAATTGTATCAAGATTAGGTATCCGTTGAGATCATCTTTAGTCCGGGAGTTCACCGTTGAATAGTGAACTTCCTGGAAGTTGCGATTCTGGAGAACAATGACGAACAATTTGCCAAAAAAAAAAATTCGGAAATATTTGAAGAAAAACACTCGAAATTTCCAAAAAACGTAAAATTTCGGGATTTTCAACCTACAAGATCCGATTTTTAAAGGCCCAAGTTCGTTTTCGGAGTTTCTCAAACCAGGGAAAGAAAAAAAAATTCGCGAAAATTTCGGGCCCAACCCTAATTTTCCGCGATTCGGCGGAATTTCCGGATTTACGGTTCCAAAACGTTCGAATTTCCCAAGTTGATCGAAAACCAAAATTTTCGTAACCCTAATTTCCACTACTGCAATAAAACGGAAATGTCGATTTAGAAAACGAAATATAGGATTAAAATCAGAATGCTGAATTATAAAAACGGAAACCGAATTGTAATCAGAATGCCGAATTAAACAGAGTACTGATTTAAATTTTAAACCTAATCACGAATTACTAATCAGAAATCCAAAGTAAACAGAATGTCGGATTACCCAGAATGTACTTAATCGGAATCCGAAGTAACCAGAATACCGGATTAAAACAGAAATCCGAAGAAAAAGTCCGAATAACGAATTGAAACGGAATGCCGATTAAACAGAATACCGAAAAAGAAAAAAAAAATTGCAACTTTGAATCTCGATAGTAATACAGAGCTGATTGGGAAGATTGAAGAAGCAATCTATTCCTAATCAGACTTACCTTGTGAGCAGATCCGTGAAATGGTCTGCTCCGATACCAAAACTGTTACATACTCGTGATTTCATCAACGAGTATGGGGCAGAACCAAAGATCAACCAATATAGGATGAGTATGTATGCAACGGAAGTCTGATAAACGGACTGACTCACATAGACTGACTCACACAGATATCACTCCACACACCTACAATCGTGAGATGGTGGGGTCTGAGCCATGCATAGACGATGCTCAGGCCCCGTACGCACATACACAGATGAAGGTGGGAGGAGAGATGAAGGAGGTGGGAGATGTAGGTAGCACCAGATGTCACCGAGATAGAAACCAGTAGGTCACCGATATGGTAATCCAAACTGTCATCGAACAAGATCAAATGTCGCGGACAATAAGTCACCGATGTCGGAGATACAGAGTCCTAATGTAACCGGTGTCCAATCTGTGATGCAGCCGAGTATCATCCCCAACAATCTCCAAGTCTCGAACCCGGTAAGTACCACAGCCTCTTACCACCGAAGTCCAACACTGATCTCTGTCCAACTAGTATAAGTCTCCAGTCTGAAGAAGAAGAAGAAGAAGAAGAAGAAGAAGAAGAAGAAGAAGAAGAAGAAGAAGAAGGGAGAGATGGCAGAGGAGGAGGGAGTGANGAAGAAGAAGAAGAAGAAGAAGAAGAAGAAGAAGAAGAAGAAGAAGAAGAAGGGAGAGATGGCAGAGGAGGAGGGAGTGAGGAGGAGGACCAGGAGTCGTGGAGGGAGGAAGGAATCCTCAACCTCCGGATACCTGGGTGCTGCACTGGTCGGTGAACGGCAATGGCTGCCGTGCTGCTGATGAGTGCCGTCTCCTCTCTCGCTGCTGCTGCTGCGCTAGTTCGCGCTACTGCTGCCGCTCCCCGGTGCTGCGCTAAGAATAGCGCTGATGCTGCTGCTCCTTTGCCAACCGATACGCACTAGCATTATGCTGGTGGCTCGATCCCTCAAACTGAGGCCGGACCGGTCTTTAGTACCGGTGGGGCAGAGGCCGGCCTCAATGCTGCGAGGCCTGGCCGTGCCCTGAACCGTCGAGATTGACGGTTCAGCCCCAACCGGCGGGCGGCAGCCTCAAGAGCGCCGCCAAGCCCAAACGGTAATGTCGTTTGGGCCTGCCCGTCGGGTCTGGTCCCAAAATGTGGCCTTTACGGCCTGCTGTACCCCAAGTCCGGGCCTTTAGGCCCTACTGTGTCCTCCTGGCCCTAAGTCGGGTCTGGTAGGACCCGTGTGGCGTCGAAGACGTAACAGGTAAAGTATGACTACGGAGGAACTGGGGATGAAGGTCTTGTTCTTGAGAAATTTTCCCTTCCTACTTGTTTCTCTCCTCTCCTATTCTTTCTCTTACCTTGTCCTATTCTGCCACTTTTCTATTGGAAAAAGTCCTTTTTTCCAATGACGTTCTGGTTTCTCTCCTCTTACGTTCCCTCTCCAGCCTTATTTTTTCGCTACTCTGTCCTTCTTATCTTTTATCTACAATGGACCGACTTCTGGCTGTCTCCTACTCCTGCCCCCCTAATCCTATATGAATGATGATCCAGCCCTCTCAGATTCCCCTCCCATTCCACTACGGAGTGTTTCGTCTTCTCTTATGTACTCATTGTCGGCTCCCCTTTTCTTTTCCGGGCGATGTTGTAATGTCGATTGCGCCCATCATTTCCTGTGCCTTCGATCCATCTATGTCGTCCTCAAAGATCGCTTTCAACGCTCCTTAACTCGCTGGGTCTTCACGGTGATGATGTGTGAGAGTAGGATAGAAACTTACCTCGAATAGATCAGGGATTTGGAGCCTGGTTCACCTTTCCCTTGAAGGTGTCTCTTGGCGTGCAATCATCGAAGAGTTGTCGTCTCCTAATTTGTTGTCATACCTCCCACTTTCGCTGAACCAATTCCTCTTGCCACGCTCCTTAGACTCTGTCTTCCCCTTGCTCGTCTCCACCCTAGATTTTCCTCCTCTTCCCTTTTCTTCTCCCAATCTTCCTTCCCCTTGCCCGTCTCTTTGTCGTTTCTCCAACCTAGGCCTTCCTCCTTTTCTCTTTTCTTCTCCCAATCTTCCTACCTCCCTCCTCCTCGTTTTCTGAGTCGCGCTCCTCCTTTCTTGTTCTTTCCGAGATTAGGGATGGAGTGTGCCGCGCCCGTAGGCGCGGCCTCGCTGGCTATGACCTCGCGCGCAATGGCGCGAATTACGGACTCCCTTGATCCCACCTTCCCACTTTCTTTTCCGCTAGCGCTTACCGCCAACGCTAGCACCACCCAATTTTATATTATTGTAATTTGAGTGGAACTTCGAATTGGCACTGTTCATGGACATCACTCAAGCTTGTGTGAGCTTCATCTGAATGTTTTTCAATTTGCATGTTGTATTCTGAGTCGAATCTTGTGAGGGCACCTAGTACATAGAACGCAGCATATAGCACATAGCACACTACTTCACGACAGTTGGGCAGACTGGGTTTTTCGCTTCACCTCTTCGGGGGTAGATTATCCCAGGTTGGTTGTTCTGTTTTGTTTTTTTTTTTTTTTTTTTTTCAATTTTTTTGTGTTTAAATCTTGTTTTTTTTCCCCTTGATTTTGGTCTTTTTTCTCCTTTGTTATGTTTTTCTTTTTTTCAATTTGTTTTGCTTTTGTTCAATTTGTTTTGATACCGGGGCACAACTGCTGGTGTAGATGACTTTGGGATAGTTTGACGTCAGTGCCGGGTTGTTAGAATAACTGTCTGATTTCAATTTTACGTGTCCCGAATTTGGGGGTAGCTTGAGAGGTTCAGGGGCTCTATTGATGCTTAAGGTGCTGAGGGATGGTGCCATCTGCTTCTATTGTCTGATAAGTGGTAAAGAACACATGGTCTTTCTGGTTTCTCGTTTCTGATATGGTCCCTCTGAGGGGCTGACGGTTTTTCTTCTGCAGTTGGTACACTCTGATTCTGCTGTTCCATTTTCTCTTTCCTAGATCGCTCTGGAAAGGTGCTGCTGGCCTGTATTTTGTCCTTTGTTCCACTGTGTCTGTAACTTTTCTATGGTTGCTATGTTGCAAATCTGCTACCCTGGTCTATTCTTCCTCTGGAGTTCTCTGAAAAGGTGTTGGCAGCCTGTGTGTGTGTGTTTTAGATTTTCCCCACAACAGCCCCAATTCCACCCAGGTGAATAGATTCAGAATCAAAGCAGTCTTTGTCCTAGTGTGTGTGTGTGTGTGTGTGTGTGTGTGTGTGTGTGTGTGTGTGTGTGTGTGTGTGTGTGAGTTAGCTTCACCTGGTCTGGACCTTGCTCTTGGAGCTCTCGGAGTGGAGGCTTCCTATTCGCTTTGGATGTGGGATGGACGACTACTTGATCTGGGAATAGTACTCGATCGATCTCTCCTTCTCGCAGGGCAAAGGACGCCTGAAGAGAGCTGGTTTGGCGAACCGGCCGAAATGCGGCACAGGGTCGATCACCACGGCTCGGTTGGATGCTTTCACGTTTTCTGCTGCACTCAACCAAGTATTGTTTGGCGGTGCTTTGCTTAATATCATTCGCCCCATGAGAGACAGTCTTCATTCGTACTTTTCCTCTCTCTCTCTCTCTCTCTCTCTCTCTCTCTCTCTCTCTCTCTCTCTCTCTGTTACTCTCACTCTCTCTCTCTCTCTCTCTCTCTCCCACACACACACACACACACACACACACACACACACACACACACACACACACACACAGAGGCAGAGGAAAAAAAAACAAAAACGATTCCCTGAGTAGCGGCGAGCGAAATGGGTGAAATCTAAATCGTTTAATAGACATTGCTTGCTCAACTTTGCTGTAGATTTCACGTCTGCTACCGTCTTCACCCGAAGAGAACGCCCGGTCATTACGGCTGTATCCGGACTGCATGTTGCCACGAGTACAGCTATAATGACCGGCCGTTCTATTCGGGTGACCGCGGTAGTGTTAGGCACTGGCTGAGTGTACGATGATTGTATGATGTGTGCTCTTTACCCTTACCATGGAAACATCCCTCATTTTGAGGGTAGAAAAAAGGAGTTGTAATTTTCTGTCCTTGATGCAGCGAATGTTCGTGTGGCCCATGTGCAAGAATGGCACACCCAAATTAACCAAGAAATGATCTAAATTAAGAGGGAGGGGGGGAGGGGATTGGAGAATGAAAGGAAGCACATGGGCTAGTGTGCATGGTGTCAAATCAAAAAGTCTGATCAAGGAAACTTTACCTGTTTAGCAGGTGCACCCTGTTGCATGAGCTTCAGACTGTCCAAACCATCCACAATCCCTTCTGTGATGTCTGGTGCAAGAGCAGTTGTGAAGACTTTTGCCCCGTCCAGAGCTCCCAAGAAGCCTTTCAAATGATCTTCATTGCCGATTGATCTAACCAGTTCCTGTACATACAATCAATGAATGAAGGAATATCAACAAGCTTCAATAAGAAGAAGTCTCAGTTCAGCAGCTGTGGCAACTCAATGATTGCAGCAAGATCAAAGAGCCAACAAACGAATGAGGCAGTCGTTGATTGAGAGGAATATCAGCGTGCATCAATGAAACAGGGCACACACCACTGGTGCTTGCGATGAGTTAGTCCAACAGTGAAACGATTTTACCACTAAAGCAAGCAACATGAAGCACTATAGATCCGTTATATCCCCTTCTTGACTATCTTTGCTTTGGCTTTCTTTGGGGTACCCCTTTTATTTGTTCTTGCGTTCGGGTACCCCTTTTATTTGTCCTTGCAGCTCCCTATTTACTGTGCCTCTCACGTACAAGGCTTGCCATGTTGATTGTGGTTGAGCGCGAGCTTCCCACACCCCTCTGTGCCATAACAGCCCACTTGCAACTCCCCTTTCCCTGTTAATTTTCCTCAGATCTTCAGCTTAGATTTTGTTTGTTCTCTTAAACCACTAGTACGTCCAAGCCTGTTTTTGCCGACCCTGAATTTCACTTGATGCTCATTCGTATCACCCAAATAGAACGCCCGGTCATTCCTTTGCAAAGAACATGCGAAAACCCCTTGCTTTGAGTTACTCTCTATTCGATATAAAAGCTGATAAAACAAGCAGAATCTGAAGTGATTATCATTGATATGCCACTCTCACTTTCACTTTCCACAATGAAAGGTGTCGAGGTGTGGGTCATCTCTCTCTCCAGGGCTAGGGTATACTTAAGTATGCCGGATAGTTCAGAATCCGAGGTCGTTAGACGCAAGCATACTTGTCTCCTTTCGAAATCCTGCTTTGTGCGGCATGTGTAAGTAGCGATCTTCATGACGACATTCGACACACACAAAGTCCATGGCCAAGCCTCAGCCCTGGCAGCGCCCAAGATATGACAATTGTCTCAACAAGGTAGGGCAAAAACACTGGATATAGAGGGATGAAGTCTCAATGATGACAAATCGCGATCACACATATGCCCCACACAGTGAGGATACTCTAGACTCTAGAACAATGAATGTTTTATTCGTTTGCACGGCTTCCCTAACATCCCATTCGCAGGGACATTTTTGGTGCTTGCTTGGCTTCAGTCAGTTTGTCGAGATGAGTTTCTGAGCTATCATATGGACTCAAATAAGAACACATTTTTCCGTTCTCGCAAAAGCAAAATCATTTGCTCATTCACACATTCCATTCATTATTACAACACGTTGTAACAAGATGAAAGCCTAAAGGTTATGGGACGCTGCACCCGCTTTCCAGCAGGTGCGGCTCCCCACAAATAGATCGGAGCAACCGGATGAAATACTAGGAGAGGATGCTCTTACCACCTCTCCTGGTATTTTCGGTCCGGTTATTTTGTGAAAAAAAAAAAACAAAAGTTATGGAGAAGAGATAGATATTAAGGAGAAGGTCACACACAAATGAGCATCCTTGTCATGAGGGAAGACAAAACCAAAACCTTTGCAATGCCACCTTCTTTCATCAAAACAACAACACAAAAACAACACTTGCTCTCACCAAAAACTTAACCCGGATCACCACCAAACCACCAGTGCAGATAGTTAATTGTCTTGCACATTGAACGGGGTACCTTAAGACACTGTGCGCACTGTGCGTCATATCCTGCTTTTTTATGTTTGCCGGGGATGGGTAACCAGACTGGTGCCTCACCAGAATATAGAGGAGGTTGTGTTGTGTGTTTAAAATGAAAAAGAAAAAAAAAAGAAAAAAAAGAAATCTGATCAGCACTGGGCTTCCAAGGACCTGCAGTACCTCACCGTGAACTCGTTACCCTGCTTGACACAGGACCAGCATGCTAGAGCTTCCTAGACACTCAATTGACCCCCCCCCCCAAGGTAGCTGTTCTACCTGATTCAGTTCCACTGCGATTACGGGGATAGCAACGGGATCCCATTTGTTCACTTCGGAATTGTGGGGATAGGGGAAGTAGTAAATATGCAACGCACAAGAAATATGTGAAGGTCAGGGGAAGAGAGGAAGGGCCCATGATCTTGCATGATCAGGTCACAGCGCAAGGGAAATAACCCAACTCCAAGCGGCAATACCCTATCCATGACCACTGCACCAATCCGACACAGGGTAAAAAGAGAAAGAGGGGAACGAGGAGAAGGACGAGGAGAAGGACAAGGAGAAGGACGATGAAGAATGACACTCGGAGAGTGTGTGGATTAGAAAGGACTCACAGGTGCACACAGGAAAGCCAAGATTGGGTAGGTGTAATGGCAAGGGCAAGAGGGATAGGCAAAGGATGCATGACCAAGCAATGAAATTCAGGGAGATGAAGACAGGAGGTAATGGATGTATGTCAACCAAATCGGTAAAAGAAAGCTTGCAGTGAGTTTATTCCTGGTAGTGTGGGCAGGGGTGTGGCGACACTGGCAAGCTCTCGCCAAATCGGCGAAGAAAACAACCAAGTGCAAGCAGGAACTGGCCAAAGAATTCTGAGCAACAAGACGCATTCCACTTCCAACGCTGGCTTATTGTACCATCTTTTCGGAAGAGATGAAAACAAAGGACATATCACATGACATCAGAGCAAAGTGAAATCAAAACTATGATTCACATCCCCCATAACTCCGGAGAAAAAGATGGGCACAGGAAATCTTCCAGTGCAGTTGTAGGATTGTCACATGTCAGATGAATAGAGGGAGGTGGGGGGAAGGGACATATCAGTGAATGAACAGAAAGATGGGCAGGCAGACAGATGGATGGATACACAGCGAGACTGGCAAATGCAAAACGCATGGACAGAGACATTCAAATTAAGGACAAAAGAGAACGCAGGGTGGGGAATGGGAAGGGGGGCCAAGGGTGATGCTTGGGAAGGAGAGCAATCAAATTCCTAAGCCCATTCGCATGACGCATCCACTGTGAAAAGTAAGGCTTTGTGCATTATTCAATCTTCATTATCGATTCTCATTCTTTCTTTCTTTTTCCCCTAAAGTTTTTTTGTCTTCTTTTCTTGTGTTCTTCATCACTCATTCTTGGCCATTTCTCAAGCAACAAAATGGACTGCTCCATAGACAAATGATCATATTGGCGGATAGACGAGCAAGCATGCAGAAAAGAAAGCGGAACGAGTTTTAGGAGATATGTACACCCAAAGCACCAACATTGACGGTTCTTTGAAGCACAACAGAATGGGAGTTGAGGGATGTGAATGCGAAGATGGGTGTGGCTGGTTGTTTGAGCTTGGGAAGATTTGCTAAAGAAACGTACCGGACCAATGCTGTAGTTACTGGGTGGATATGTGCTGATTGAGACTAGGTCACCTTGGCGAAACGTCATAGCCAGCTTGCGAAGGGTTGCCAAAACCACCTCAAGTCTAGTGATGGTTGAGACAAGGCTCAATGAAGGATGCTGTTGGCCCATGGCACTCCGAAGGTCGAGGACAATTGCAATGTTCGTTTGTGGAGAAGCAGCCTCTGCAAACCTGCTCAATCGGAAATCTGTTACAATCCTGGCTATCGTGCAGTGCAACGACTCGAAGAAAGACAATGCCATTCAATTGCAAGTGAGATGAAAGAACTTGGAAAGAGCAATTTTAGCCAAAGGTCGAAGAAGAAATAAGAATGTAAGATGAAAAAGAAGATGAACACTAGCAAGGACTTTGTCAATCCCCTTCATCTCAACTCCATCTCCGACCTCCATCACCTTTCCCATGTCTGTGAAATCAAAAGAGACTGAATCGCCGGGTTTGGCATGGGTTTCAATAAACCAAGGGGCGGTTGTCTGTTGACAGACTTCACAATCTTTCAAAAAATTCCTCACAGGTTCCCTCGATGTGGCCAGTCAATTGTTGTAATAGACTTCCATATTTCTTGGCGAAGTCGAAGTGTCCGCTTGTACCTTGTGTCATATCCAAGAAGTGAGTTCGGACAGGCGTATGGTTGAGAACACAGTCTACCGAACTTCCCAGACGTGTGGAACAGGACTGACTGTTGGGGTCAGCCTTGATCTGCTCAAGGATTGGACCATAGTCGGGATCCTTGGTTGTGTGCTCAACCAGATCCTTCTTCAGTTTCTGTTGGAGGTCGTAGGTGTGCACAAGGCAAGTCATAGACTCGGGGCAAAGGATCAGCAACTTGGTTGTAACAATCTTTCTTATGTTTCAGCGCAAAATCATAGACATCAATCTCATGCAACCAGTGGGACACCATTGTGGACAAGTTAGTTTGAGACAATCCACTACAAGGTCCCATGATCTGAGACAACCTTGAAGTGGTGTCCCGAAAGGTAATGCTTCCAATGCTCCAATGCCTCTTTCAAGGCATACAGCTCACGCATAAACGTGGAGCTGGCTGCCTTGTTGCTGGGCATGTATTTGTTGTAATACTCGAGTGAACGCAGTTCACCACCATCACTTTACTGCAGCTCTGCGCCAATCCCATATTGGCTCATATCCGTAGTGATAACGAATGAGGGTTTGGGATCTGTGATGCGGAGTACAAGATTTTGATTAACCAGAGCCTTTTTCAAGGACTCGAATGCAGATTCGCATGCATCAATCCAAATGTAAGAAACATTCTTGCTAGTGAGTCTAGGCAGGAAATTTCAGAACAAACGTCCGGTAATATGAGGCCAGACCAAGAAAGGAGCGCAGTTCGCGTACATTCACCGTTCGAGGCCAATTGCCGATGCCCTCAACCTTGGTTGTCTCATGCTCAAGGCCTGCAACAAACAACCGGTGCCCAGATGATACTATCCACCCTCTGATTTCTCCAGGTTCAGGTGGAACTGTGTCTCCCTCAAAATCCCAAGGACTTCCTCTACATGCTTTTAGTGTTCATCCATGCTTTTGCTGAAAATCTGAACATCATAAAGATAAGAAACCACAAATATATATTGAATCATTATTGATCTAATTTTTTAACACACGGTCCATGAGACTTTGAAATGGTGGCAAGCGCGTTTGTGAAACCAAAGGGCATGGCGATGAACTTGTACAACTCATTGCACATCTTGAACGCGGTTTTGCACTGGTCCGCCAGATTGACCTCAATCTGATATACCTGAGGTCGATCTTTGAGAAGGACCTTGCACCATATCTACGTCGGACCGGACCCCGGACCGAATCCGACCCCAGAACCCGGACCTCCTGAGCCCTTCCGGACTTCCGGAATACCGGAATTCTCCGGAGGATCCGGACCGGTCCGAATCCCCAATCCCAGTGTGATTATGGACTAAGGTGCTGTCAGATGCAAATATTGCCGCGCGCGCACACATGCGAGAGAGAGAGAGAGAGAGAGAGAGAGAGAGAGAGAGAGAGAG